CTAAGGACTGAGCCCAGACATTCTCTCTCCTCACTCTCCAAAATGGTATATATTAAAGTAGGGCTCAAATTCTCTATTCACAACAGAACAACAGTGACACTTCACTTCACCCCCACACCCTAACTACAGAACAAATGAAACTAAGCAGGACACCTGAAACCTATGACTTAGTTCAAAGGAGAACTGAAATTAATAGTTAATGAAGCTAAGATTACTAATTAATTAAAATGTAGCTTACTGATTTTCAAATTGGAAAAGCCAACCCCAACAACCATCTGTAGCCTTTGGGATTGATTAATCTTCTCCCTGCTCTAATATCAAAGGTCTCCTACATTAGGTACCTAGCTGGACTCTACCCCTAACACCACAATAGCATTTTCTATCACAAGCACTTTCAAACTGGCCAATTGAAGTTGCTTAATTTTAGTTATTTGCCACAGTATGATGGGTCCAGAAGGAAAAAAGTATTCAAATTGTAAGTAAAACACTACTGAAATGAAACTTGTTACACCAGAAATTCTTTAAAAAAACAAAAGGTTCAGTATCTTAGATATAGTTTTCATGACTACAGTGCAGGGATAATTACCCTTGTTTTCTTTCTATCTCTGACCATTCTTTCTCTTCTTGTTTTTTCACAACAAACTGCCTCTCACTGACACCAGCAGGTTAAGCATGTTGGTTTATGTAATTGTGCAAGAAGATCCTATTCCACCTTTTCCTGAAAATACGTAATTATTTAATGCAAAATACATGATTATTTAATCCTAGGTAGCAGCTACGTAAAAATTACAAATGTGAAACTACAGAATTTTAAGTTGTCAGAAAAATGCCTATTTTATGATAATCAAGAGAAATGAATTGGTCAATACACCAAATTTTATAGTTTTGGAAACAGCTAACATTTAGCAAGGAGAACAAAGAATACTTAAGTTTCACAAAGAAAAGGTGATACACTGGAAAGAACTGAGCCTGGTGTCACACAACCTGTCACGTTATAGCATTTAGCAGAAAAAAATAAAAAGGAAAACAAAATTATATAATAGCAACAAAAGCAATAAAATACTTAGGAATAAGCTTAATAAGAAATGTCAAAGCCTATATAAGTAAAACTCTTAAAAGATACAAAAGTAAACTTGAACAAATGGAAAGGCATCTCTTATTCCTGGATAAGGTAATTCAGCATCATGGACAGGTGATTTAACTCCCTAAGTTAGTTTATAAAGTTGATGAAATCCAATTAAAAATATCAACAAGCTTTTTCATGGAGTTAGTCAAACTGATAGCAAAGTTCATCGGGAAAAATAAACATCCAAAAATAGCTAGAAAAACATGAAAAAGAAAAGCTACATGGGTGGATTAGCCCTACCAGACACTGAAATATACTATAGCGCTCTATAATTAAAACAATGTGGTACTGACTTAGATATATGCAAATGACCTAGTAGAACAGAACGGAAAGTCCAGAAGTAGACCAAATTACATGTGGAAATTCAGCATATAATAACAATAGCATCTCAAATCACTGGAACAAACACAGACTTTTTAATAAATGAGACAAATGATCAATGATTTAGAAAGGATAAAATTAGATTGATAACTCATACCATACATAGGAATAAACTCCACACACAGGAACAAACTTCAAATGGATCAGGGATCTAACTGTAAAAAGTAAAAACTTACAACTCCTAGAAAATATGGATGAATTTCTCTTTAACCTGAGGAAAAGGCTTTCTATAAGACTTTATAAGGAAGAGGCTTTCTAATGACAACTAAAATCCAGATATGATAAAAGTGGACATTAAACACATGAAAGGATGTTGAACTACATTAATAAGATTGTAAATTAAAACTACAATGAGATACCATTTCTCACCTATCAGATTGGCAAAAGCTGAAAAAGTAAATCAATGCATGTTGTCAAACCTTGTGGGTAAATAGGCATTCATATATTACTAGAGAGAATGCAAATCTGTATGAGCTCTTATGCAGGGGAATTTAGCAATATCATACAAAACTACATATATGTTTATGTTTTCATTCAGCAGCCCTAGTTCTCTTAATTTATTGTGAAGATACACATCTAATAATAAATACCTATGCAGAAAGCTTTTCATAACAGCTCCCTTGGAGATTACAAAATATTGAAAAGTAATTCAATATCCATATACAGAAGAATGGTTAGAATCAACTCTGCAATACTATGAAGCTCTAAAAAGGATGAGAAGAATCTCTGAACTGATATGACTTTCAGGAACTACAGTTAACAGAAAAGGAAAGTACAAAAGAGTATCTCTAATACTACACTTTGTGTAAGAAAGAAACAAAGAGAACTACAGTCACCCTCTGCATTCATGGATTCCGCAACCAGGGATTCAGCTAAGCTGGGATCAAAAATATTCAGGGGGGCAAAGCTCTGGAAAGTTCCAAAAATCAAAACTTCAATTTGCCACATCAGCATCTATTTACATAGTATTTAAATTGTATTTACAACTATTCACATAGCATCAACAAGGTATTATAAGTAATCTAGAGATGGTTTAAAGTATATGGGAGGATGAGCTTAGGTTATATGGAAATACCACACCATTTTATATACGGGACTAGAGCATCTGCAGATTTTGGTATCCACTGGGTGTCCTGGAACCAGTCCACTGTGGATACCAAGGGATGATTGTACACTTACTGCTCATTTGTGCAAAAGAAACCCAGAAAAAATAAATCAGAACATAATGAAATTGGCTATCTAGAGGAAGTGAGTGGAAACAAGACAGAGGGAATGACTTTTGTGTATCTCTGACTTTTAGAACCACATTAGTGTTTCACAGACTGAAAATATAAATTTTTTTAAAAAAGTCAGAAAGAATGGGGATAAAGTTCTACAAAGGGATACATACAAAAACAGATGAACCAAACTGTATTTCAGTTGAATAACTTAACTATGATAAAGGGAAAAATTAAAATTTTTTTAAAAAGCAAGAAAAAGAAGAACTAACTGAAGTATCTTCTGAACAGAATATACTGGTTTGATACAGCAATGATAAAATATAATAAAGCACTCTGGAGTCAGACTGCTTGGATTCAAATACCCGCCCATCTATCCACTTGCTAACTATATGACCCTGGACAAGTTAATTTATAATCTCTTTGTGTGTAGGTTTCCTTATCTGAATAATAACAGTACCAATATTACAGGACTAACGGTAAAGCTCCTATAAAACGACTCATGTAAAAGCCTTAGATCACGTGGCATATTTTAAGGATTTGATAAGTATCTGCTATCAGCAACTATTAATTCAAAAACACATTAAGTGTGTGGATATCCTGGAGACACACATAATAAAAATGGAGTCCTTGTCATGAAAAAATTTGGAATTTCTTAGTTTATGAACAATAAGTGTTCAAGGAAGCTAGACTAGCAAGATCCATAGGGCTGGCTGGAATCATCTGGGAAATTTCATAAAGGAAGAAACTGACATGGATCTTTATATATGCACAGGGTTTAGACAGCAGGAGAATGCAAGTGACAGAAGGGAAACTGAACAAAAGCAGAGAGGCCATAAAAACCAATATATCTCAAAGATAGTGATATATAAGGTTTGTAAAAGCTGACTATCTGGAGATAAGGCAGGACTATAGAAGCTCCCGAATGTACAATTAAAACTGGGCAGGCTTTATTTTCTAGGCTATGAGGAACCCATAGAAGATTCGTGTGTAGGAGAAACAACATGACCAAACTGAATTGTGGGATTATTCTAATGTCGGTATACAGAAAGATTGAAGTGAGAAGATCAGAGGCAAGAGTCTTACTAGTCGTTAAGCCAAATAATGACAAAGGTCTGGCTAGAATAGCAGTGATGAGAAAAGGAAAGAAGGTATAGCTCAACAAGGCAGTGGCGGGGCGGGGGGGGGGGGGGGGGGGGGGATCGGGGGTGGGGGGTGGGGGGGAATCAACCAAACTTGGTAATCACTGGATATGAGGTATGAGAGAAGGAAAGAGCCGCAAGGAATGGGAACCAATAGAGAGGATTTCCTTTAAGATTGAAAGTTTAAGTCAGAGTTAGATAAGAAACCTTGCCAATATGAAATAACAGTACCTTCAGATATCAAGATCCAGTGGGCACTGGGCAACATGGTACTAGTGCTTGGGAGAGAGAACTGAAGACAAAAGCTTTAGAATTTTTTCTTTTAATCTCTTTAGAAAGTTCAGGACATTCTGGAGCATACAGACACTAGGCTGTGTGCTATTTCAGAGCAGTGATCACCTCTTATTTTTTTTTAATACCTCAATGTTTAGCACAGTTCCTAGTACACAGGAGACTCTCAGTAAAATGTTGCAGAGGTGGGAAGAGTAGGGAAGGGAACAGAGTTGCATGGCTTGTTAATGGCAGAGCCTCGATTAGAGCGCAGGTCTCACTGATTCTCCACTATACCATAACGTACAGATGACTCTGACCATCTATGTACAGGATACCCTAAAGAGACGGTGTAAGAAATAAACATAAGCTGAACTGTGGGGAGTACTGCTTTCTAGGGGCAGATGAAAGGGAGACATAAGAAGATAGCAAAGAAAGGTCAGTTATGGGGGAAAGAAATGATAGTGTTATATCACAGACTCAAAGGAAATTTTTCAAGAGAGGAAGCATAGTCAACTGTATCAAATGATCATATGCTACAGGTAATGTTTCTCTGGTCTCCCACACCAGTGACAACCAAGGCAGAGAAAGGTCACATTTTAAAATAGAAATTAAGAAATTATAATCTACATTTCACAGCATTTTAAATACATATGTCACTCACAGCAGTTCAAAAAAAATACTGCAATCTTCAGTAAATTTTATCTCTACATAATACACAATGCGAAATAAAGTCACTACAGTAGTTGAGCTGAATAAAAATTTGTTCAATAAATGAAATTTAAAGCAAAGAGAAACAATTGAAAAAATAATTATTTACATGTATTGACAGCAACAAAATACATGAAATACTGAAGGTCTTACCTTAAATCTCTTGTCCTGTAATACTTTCTTGATGGCAACCAGCTCTCCTGAATCACAAAGTTTGGCTTGATATACCACACCAAATGACCCATTCCCAATCACTTTAGTATCTGTATAGCTGACTTCTTGTGGCCTGTCTGGACCCTGCCCAGGAGTTGCCACCACTGTGGTCACCTTGCTGCCATCCTTGTCTCCTAAAAGAAATAAGGGATAGATAAATGAGAACTGTAAAGAATTCAACGGAGAAAATTGCCAAAGTATACCAAGTAAACTATATTCTTTACTACAAATTATTTTTAAATGCTCATCTTAGTTTATCACATAGTATTACTTCAACTATTTGTTTCAATTATAAGTAATTATTTTAACCACCATTTATTCAGTCATTCCACAGACCAGACACCATGCTTAGTTTATATATATGACTTCATTTAATGAAAACAACCCCATGAAGTAGACAGAACTGTTCCTATATTAAACATAATGAGAAGAATGTTACATTTGTTCAGTCAAAAGGCGAATGATGGACCCACCAAAGAATCCTTATCTGTCCAACTCTAAAGCCCCTAATTCTTTCCTCAGGGCTTTATTTTACTTGAAAATAAGATAAGTGCAATTGAAAAAGTCTAAATATGCTGACTCTATTCAGACCACTCTCCCTTTAGGAAGGTAAGGCTTTGAGTTTTTGCTTCTCCATGTCTTATTTCTTCTTCAGAAAATAATGATGCCTTTCCAAGAAAGGTCTGATGGGTAAAAGAAATAGGGGAATATTACATTTGGGGGTAAGAGATGCAAAACTTAAAAGAAAAATCAAACCCATTCTGAAATGAGCCTCATTCATAACTAGCTTTCCAGCTCTGGGGTCTCTGCCCACTCATGACCATCTCCTTACCTCTTCTGCCTTCCCTCCTCACCAGTAACAATCCACAGACTCTTCAATTCAAGCTCAAGAGCCACCTCCTTCTTGACTAAGCACAGTTCATATATCGGAATTCTTAAACTATTCTAAACCATTCTATACTACCTAGCACTTAATTTTAAGAAGCTTTAAATTGTTCTTTTAGTGATTTCAGAATACACAAAGATTCTAGGGACTACAATCTTTGTGAAGCAGCAATTATGACTTCGTGCTTCTTCTCTCTTTCCTGACAGATCTAAAACTAATTCTCAGTACAATGTAAGTCCTTAGGCTCACTGACTAAACTTCACTTCTTTTTCTTCTCTCTCTTACTCTTCCATTATAGCAATTTTATTTTTAAGATGCTCACTGAATTCATACTAACCTCACAGAAGAAAAATAATGTAATATTTAACCCTAGATACCAAATCAAACAAGAACAACAACAAAAACCTCTCTGCTCACTATCTTAGTAAAAATTAAAAGGTTTACTCTGTTCTCTTTTGAGCAGTTAGAGAAACTGCTGAGAACTCTTACAGACTATACTCTCCCACTAGTAGGAAATCCTGGGTATACAAGGAACAATGGCTCTTTGTGCCTAAGCATCCTGGAATTTTTATTCAGAAATCACCAAGCTCTTCAGACTGCTCCATCAGAGATCTGAAATAGCAGAGCTGTAAAGAATGGCAAGGTAACACTGGGGGTGACTTGGTATGAGCATTAGTAATGCATGGGACAGTGAGCAGCTAGTGTGCCAAGGAAAAGCATGTCACCATTTGGCACTGCAATTTGCTGACTCAGCAATAAAATAACATCTGTATAAAATTTCACTGTACAAAAGAACTTTCCGATTGTTTCATCTACTCTAATACTTAAATGGAGGGCCATGTTTACTATGCAAATAAGGAAAGTAAGAGAGATTAACTTGTCCAATATCATAAAGCTTTAAATAAAAGAACTCTTCACTCACGTCAGGCTGCCTCTGCCATTATTTTACAACCTTCCTACTACAGCTGAAAGACCGACTTCATATACCATTACCCACCCCCCCCCAAGAAGCAGATGTTTCTGAAAATATGATGTAAAAAAGGTCAGCTCCAGAATAATAGTAAGAGAATACATGAATAATCTTTTGTAGTTTTCAGTCCTCAATTATTCATTTATTAATAGCTAAAGAGCTTTTTCCAAAGATACTTTGGCAACATTAGAGTTTGAAAGTTATCCCAAAGCAAAAGCATATGGAAAACAAAAATGTAAAACAATTGATTCTGTGATGTCCAAACAATTTAACTTTTGCTACTAGAAACTGCGTAACTTTGGATCTTAACAACAGAGCAGCATTTTAAACACTGCTACCAAGAAACCAAAATCCTCATGAAAAGCTAGAATTCATAACAGATATGCCTCATTAAAAAATAAAAAGTCACCACTTTGCCCAATATTGAATTTCCCAGAATGCATGGTATCATGAGCTTCACACCAACTACAATAAAACTGGTCCCTAAAAAATGCCACTGTCTCTCAGGAGCAACAACAGCAAAGCAGTGGGAACAGCTCAGTTTCAGGCACTCTCTTCTGGCCAGAGAACTCCTGGGATCCTCTATTACAATTAAAATTCACTCAGGTGGTATGAATTTCCTATTCTGATTAGAACACAGAATTAAATCCCCTATTCTTTAGCACAGTGGATAAATCCTAAATATATAAACCATAAAAGACTCCTCATAAAGCAATGGAAAGGTGGTATGCAACAGAACAACCACTTTCAATTGAAGGCTGTTAAATACAGAATACAGTTTTACAAAGCCCCTTAGATGCATCCCAAAATGGTATGTGCAGCCTTGTTCTCAGTTTCTCAAACACAGCAACACCTTGTGGTTACATTTTTTTTGTCTTCTGAAGTCACTCCTCAGAACAATCGATCCATCCAAAATCCAAAAGGCCACTTCGGGCATATGTAAATATTTAGGAGGTACCTGACACTGACATTCTAATTTTAGTATTTCTTAATGATTCAGAGCTGAGAAAAAGCAACTGTGACCCTTTTTAACTAGGAGACTTTTAGAGATGTTAATAAGTCATACTACTAAATAAACTGAACAAAGTCAGCAACGACTATCTATATTAAATCTTCCTTTACCTCCAGAAGAATGTCTCCCGTGTAGAAATAACAGAAAATTAAAAGTCTACAAAGCCCAGAGAAACCAGCACACCCGGTATGATACAAGGAGGATACAAGGTATTTTTATGAAGCTTTTTAACCTAACAATAGGATTAGTAAGGAAACTAGCTCTATTGTTTCTCATGAAGAGATATAACAGATAGCTATGTTTATGGATGTTCAACAACAATATAACAGTCTATTGAAAAATATTATTATATAAATTACTTAAAAGAACCAAAAAACCTTATTTTCAGACATGATTAAGATGGTCTGAAGGGGAAACACTGACCACTGTCAAATTTTCAGGTTTTTAAATTAAACTTCAAACAACTCTTTATCCTAAGTATATGGCTAAGGAACTTCTATTAAAGCAAGATGTCCTCCCCTAAATAAACACAACAGCTTAGAGACATGAAAACAACATAAAAATTAATAAGCAAAAGAAATAAGAAACAAGGAACTGAGGTCCACAGAAAATCAGAGTTAGACAAATTCTAAAATAAGCTTATTATTGTCAAGAAATAGGGCCTCTACTCTATGATGTGGAAGCTCTAGCGAGTGTGCAACTGCTCTCATAACTTGGAGCAACCTATGAAGAAAGAAAGAGAATGCAAACTAAGCAGCTGAATCAGTCAAATCAACCCTAATGTCAACAGCACGATAAAAAATTTTAGGGGGGCTTCCCTGGTGGCGCAGTGGTTGAGAGTCCGCCTGCTGATGCAGGGGACACGGGTTCGTGCCCCGGTCCAGGAAGATCCCACATGCCACAGAGCAGCTGGGCCTGTGAGCCATGGCCACTGAGCCTGCGCGTCCGGAGCCTGTGCTCCGCAATGGGAGAGGGCACGACAGTGAGAGGCCCGTGTACCGCAAAAAAAAAAAAAAAAGGACAGATGTTATACATGAGCTGGCTTTTGGAGATGTTTTCCTGTATATCGCTTCTAGAAATGAAAGGAAAACATAGGGTGGTAGAGGATAAAGATGAGACAGAAAAGACTCCCAAGTCCTTGATAGTGCAATAATACCACATTTTCAATCACAGGCAGATACCATGCCAATGGGATTAACAAGCATCAATTCTGAAGAACCATAAAATCTTAAGAAATAAAAAAATCAGTCATTTTTGTCCTTAGAGAGAGGCATAATGGTGTTAATATGGGCTCTGAAGTCAGACCAAGGTTTGAATCACATATTCTACCACTTAGTATCTACAAAATGTAAATAGCTGCTACTTCATAGGGTTGTTGTAATGATTAAATAACACAGGTTAAACAGTTTTGTTTTGTTTTTTAAGTACATGCCATATAGTGAGTGCAATAAATTATAGTTTCTCTGAAGAATTACTGGTAGTGGGAATTGAAAAAAAAAATTCTGCTATGCTCTTTTACCACCAGGTACATGCCCTACTATAGTGCTGATCACAATGTTCTATAATTATTAAGAGTCCGAGCCCCCCACTTGACTATGAGCTCTTAGGAAAGCCAGACATTACCTCAATCATTTAGATTTATTTCCCTAGTACTTATTAGCAGAGGGTTCAGCACAATGCAGGTGGCCCAGCAAATGTCTGCTCTTGAATTTATATAAAAATCACTCAAGCAGAATTATTAGGATTTGGGAACTGACTACTTCCTGCTAAACAGTTAGCAGTGTTTTTACTTCTTGCACTTGCCATTGATCAGATACAAATCCCTAGGGATAAGGTATATAGAAAGCCTTACAAATAGCAAAACAGAATGGAAGGTTTACTGAAAACATGGCAACAACAAGCAGCCAAAACAAATAACACAATTTGCCACATGTGTATCTATTTACAGGTAGGAGAATTACTCTGTGCATAACCCTTTTCCAAATAATTTTGGTTTCTTCAGAGCATCAATATGCAGCAATGGATAAGAACTGGGCAGGGGACATCTCTGAGGTCTGAAGCTCAATTTACATCAATTCATATATAAGTATATTCCTTGAGTACTATTTTACAGTTTGCAAGCACCACTCACAGTGAACGTAAGAGTCACCTGGGAGAGTTTACTAAAAATGAAGATTCTAGAATTTCACCACTAGAAAGACTCAGTAAATCTGCAGTAGGGCTCAGGAAACTGTTTTTTTTTTTTTTTTTCGGTACGCGGGCCTCT